GTCAAGAAGACCAAGTTCCTGAGCTCCGAAGAGGGTGCAGAGCCGATCGTGGACGGCCATGGTGAGACCATCGAAAGGGTGGAGGACTTCCGATACCTTGGGAGCGATCTGGCAGCCGACGGTAGTGTGGATCAGGCGGTGAAGGCTCGGGTCAACGCTGCATGGATGAAATGGAGGGAGTCCACTGGAATCCTCTGCGATCGAAGGTGCTCCAGAACGCTCAAAGGGAAGGTGTACCGGACAGTGGTAGGGCCTGCGATGCTACGGCAGCGAGTGCTGGCCCCTGAACAAGAACCACGAAAGGCAGCTTCACTCCGCTGAGATGAGGATGCTGAGGTGGGCCTGCGGCTGGACGCGGCTGGACAGGGTTAGAAACGAGGATGTCAGAGCGGTCATGCAGACTGCCCCTGTCCAGCTGAAGGTACGAGAACAGCGTCTGCGATGGTATGGGCATGTGCTAAGGAGGCCACAGGACCATCCGATAAGAACAGCGATGGACTTCGAAGTACAAGGCAAGCGACCGCGAGGAGCCCCAAAGAAGAGGTGGAAAGACGTAATCAAGAAGGACCTAAGTGAAGTCACGGCCACGATGGAAGATGCCCTGGACAGAGCAAAGTGGCGACGACTGACAAAGACAGCGGACCCTGCGACTGCGCGGGACTAACGCTAGGGAGAAGAAGAAGAGGAGATTCGGTCGAGTCTCCCACTCCACTGCTTTATAGCACGTGGCGCGAGCAGCGCAACTTCGACACATACATCATTGCGAAGCTTCGCCCCGCGAGCACACTTAACCTTCAGCGGTAAATTGAGGATGGACAAAATTTCGTAACAGCGTATGATTTCCCGGTAGCACTGAAGCTAGTGAGTAGTATCACTCCAAGGAATTGCGTGAAGTTGCACTGGGTCTTCGAAAGCTCGATATGAAAGGTGCCACATCAAGCTTGAGGTCGGGTTTTACAATTAACTGGTCGCTAATTTAGTGAGAGTAGAGGTGGGCAATAGTACGAGATAGAGAACAAACCTGAAAAAAATAAGAAAAATGGCCCAAAGTCGTCAAGTAGGACCCTTCGTTTCCGTTGATTTCCGCGTTATGTGAGTCTCATAGTTGCTGTCGTTTAACGTGGATTTTCTGCTCTGCCTCTCTACTAAGATAGCTAGTGTCTGCGGCTAGAGTTCGACAGCGAGGGTCGGCGGTCGATGGGCGTTGAGAGACGCGAGCGTCGCTGGCAACGCTTGCTGGGGCACTGGGTCTACCCTTCCTTTTTCCCGAATTGCAAATTGTCCCACAACCTTACAGGTCCGGCCTCCTTTGTAGGTGTACTCCGCTTCCTCCACCTCCAATTTATCGCAGCTCCTCCTTCATGACGCTTACGCGAGAGTTGCAGTTTGCTCTTATGAGGGATGCTACGCTCGGAGTAACGAGTACTGGCCTTTCCGTGAATTCATCAGAGCGTTCACATTCCTCTAACATATGAATGCTGATCAATCAGTATGTCTTTAGGGGACCATGCAGGCAGCATATGTCCCTACAAGGATCGGACTGCAGTAAGCGCGATCGTTATCAAGCTCTAGAGTAGACGACAGGAAGCTCGTCGGTCAGCGAGAAGGCAAAAACTCAGACGGGTCAGCGGACGAGTCGCAACGCGTCTTGTAGGATTCAGCGTCAAGTTAAATAGAATGTACTAAAGCACGTTTCACATCGCACAATACGCGCTGCGACTCGTCCGCTGACCCGTCCTTCTCGCCGCGCCAGGGGCCTCCTGTCGGTTATCCAAAGCCTTATCCCGTTGCTTTGTGGCTCGTTAGTGTTGCGAACTGAACGGTGTCTAAGAATGGATGGATATGGTACATCTCTTACCATAGGATTAATGTAGCCTGGCGCTTCATCACACTATCATCGCATCCGACACCAAGTTTGTGGAACTACCCTGAAACGTATCAAAATATGCAGTCAACAAAGACGTATAAGGGATTTCTACTTTTGAGTCATGGAGAGGAATGATGAGCTGGCATGCAAAAAGAAACAGGGCTAAATATGACTGTAGCTATCCTTAACGAGTTGTTAGGTGTTTCTCTTGATGTGGTAGTCGGACATGTTTGAGGTCTTTGGTCAAATCGAGAGTTAAAAACCTCCTCCAGAGCCCTGATAATGACGGAAAGATTGAGAGATGGAACACACTTACCATATAGCACCTGATTTCACACAAAAATTCGTATGTATCACGCAGGGTCATCTCAAAATTCAAATGTGTGTTTTTTATGTGTTGAATTGTAATTGTCACCACATTTGTGAATCCTTGAATCGAGACTTACTGAAAGTGTCAATTTCAGCCTCCACCGCTCTCTGAACTCGCTGACTCACCCATACCAGCCGAAGCTCCAGCACCACCACCTCCAGCAGCTCCTCAGGCGCCAGCCCCTGTTGCCCCTGCACCTGGTCCTTTTGCCGCTCCACCGGCCCCGTTTGCTCCACCACAACCTCCTCTCGCTCCTCCACAGGCTCCATTCGCTCCTCCACAGGCTC